GCCCTTGGATACGGTTCCACCCATTTCCCTTCCCAGGGAGGCGTAAGAAAGAAAGGAGCTGTTGGTGTTGGGCGGTGTAGAACCTATCCGGACTGTGTGTACGCTCGGGGCCTTTTGAGATCTTCCTCTCTAGCGGTGATGCCCAGGCTAGCCGTCGCTTTCCTGTCCCACTGCCGCCGCTAACACAAACCCGGTGCACTTTGTTCCAGGTGTGAGTCGAGGCCTCTCGAGCCCGGTAGAGTGCATGGGTAGAGCAATTAACCTAGCTGTCTTTCATCTACGGAGTTCATGCTACTTAGTGTTTAAGTTGTATCTTCTGCAGGGAAATCCGGGCTGCTGGACACCTGGTACAATCATATCTGTTGATTAGTTTGCCATTACGGCCCCCCTCTGCCGCCCCTCCCCCACCCCGTCGCAATTGCTGATGGAGGAACACTTAACAATAAGCTATTAATTCTGGCAAACAGTAACCTTACCGTTCTCTCGTAACTAAGTCCTTTACAACATTTTTTAAAAAAACTATTTAGAAAGCAAAACTTGGACTCTTAGTAAGCACCACCCACCCATCCTCTATTCTTAAAGGTACAGAGCATCTTTGAAATGAAGAGAGGGGCAGCATGCATGGTGTGGTCATATATCAGATTCCTCTGTTCTTGGCATTCAAGTGGTTCACCTGCTTATTCAAGGCTTTCTGAGCACTGGAAACGTGTGAGATTATGTTTTTGGAACTTTTTGACTTGTGTTGAACCTTTCTTCTTTCACCTCTTAACCAGCTTTATGGGTTCTGGGTAGTGATTCCTGTGTATATTGTCAGGGGAAGTTGTCATTAGGTCAGGGAGGTCCTCTGGACCCTGCAGGTATGCAAATCACCGAAGCTTTAGTGCCGACCTGGATTAAGTAGGCTCTATTGTCTGGAGTGTTGTTAGGTGATGGCCTAGAATTTGCAGGTAACTGATCCTGTCCAAGCCTGTGAGTGAGGCAGGTCTAAAAGATTTGTGTCTTGCTGGAGCCCTGTGTGTGACTGTCTGTTCCTCCATGCTGTATTTAGGAAATACATTCACATGTGGCCACTGCAGGGGGACAGTGAAGGTGTTTGTTGTTAAGTGGCCTCCTCGGGTACCAAGTGGATGTGTCTCCAGTGGAAGGTTGCTGAGCATCAATATTTTAAAGCAATTTGTTTTGCTGAACCTGGTTACCCAACTTAACAGTGGGCTTTGGACCTGTGCCCTAGCCATTGTTTGTGGGTTAAGGCTAGCTTTAGCCTTTACAGTGTTCCCTCTCCTCATCCTAAAAAACAAGGTGAAATAATATTTGTGAGGCTCAGCATTGTGTATCATGGATGTTCAAGCATTATTTTTATTCCCTCTGAAAGAATATCTGAGACTGACATTTTCTCTTGAATCACTTGAGTGATTTGAATTTTATTAAAAGTACCCTCCCCCAGCTTCTGGCTTGGAGACTTGGTTGGAAGGAAAAGGAAAACAAATTGGTTTCCCCACACTGCCAGCCAGCCTCCTGGCTGTAGCCTGCAACAAACACGATTTAATCGAGTGCTCATTTCAGGGCTTTGAGGAGTGGGCACCCCATGTGCCTGGTGAGTTGGTGCCTTCCAGCCCTTTGCCCCAGGCCACTCCTTCCTAATTTTCCCTGTGAGTCTGGAGTGAGGGGGTTTCTCTGCAGCTTGGTCTGTTGTCCTGTTGTGAGGAAGTCAACAGTTTTGCGTACAGGTTAACGCTTTCAGTTTGCCATGTGGAGTATTCCTCTGCTCTGGGGAAATGACGAATCCTGTGGGCCTCTTGTCCCATTTAAATCGTGTCATACTGTTTGAGTTACCAATCTACATGGGGTGTAATTTAATCCTAATCTTTGCTTCCTAAGGCAAATTCTGTTTCTTCCACATCCCCTTTCTGGTGTCATGCCTCACTCAGATTTCACGTGTATGATCACTTAGCATTAAGAGCCCATCCATTGTATGTGGCACTGCACTGGGCAAACCTGCTAGCCCTGGTACATAATTTTAAAACTGGACAGTGGAAAACATCAGAGACAGTGTTCTGAGTAGGACAGAGCCTGGCTAGAGAAATAATTGGTGGGGATGTGGGAACTAAAATTTAAAGGATGCCTTTTCCTTGAGAGGTAACTGTGCTAGGCAAGTTGTGAGCAAACACCTCCCTAATTCTTTAATCCTCACACCTCTGAGTACAATTGAGGGCAAACCTGGGAGGTCATTCGGGATTGTTTCAATGGTAAATAGAAATACAAATTGAGAGGTAAAGAAGCTGACAAGTGTGGTTTGGAATTAAACTAGGTCCTCTGGAGGGCTTTTGTGAGAAGAACCAAGGCATAGTCAAATCCATGGGCTTTTCTCCTAATCTTTCTGTTGCTTTCTAAACAGGTTGTTGGAGTGAAGGAGTGTGTGTTATCATTTAGCATTCAGAGGACTGACTTTTAGTAATAAGTAGCTTTCAAGATGTCCTATTCCATAACTTTCCATTTCTCCTACTAAAAGGCTCATTTTGGCCCTGGTTGTTGTGTCTCAATGGACTGAGCGCCGGCCTGCAAGGTCACAAATCCGATACCCAGTCTGGGCTCTTGCCCTGGTTGCAGCCCATGTTCTCCAGTTGGGGGTGTGCGAGAGGCAACCAGTAGATGTATCTCTTGCACACTGATGTTTCTCTCCCTTTCTTCCTCCCTCCCTTCCCCTCTCTCTAAAAAGTAAATAAATTTTTAAAAAATAAAATAAAAGGTCTGTTCTGTCCAGGTCCTTGCCATTTGGATGTTTCTACAATCCGGTTTGAAAGTTTGCCACAGTCAATAGTAAACATTCTGTCCCCATCTGGTAATACTGGCTAGCTGCCTTCACTGAACCCATCTCACTGAGGCCCACGCACTCACGAACAAAGCAGTGCCCCAGGTGAGCGCAAGAAGTAAAGGTACACAGTGGTGCAGGCTGATAAGTCTTGTTTCACCACTGAGTTTAGCTGGCAAGAGCCCTGGATTGGGGGTGAGAGCTTGGTGCGGCTTTCAGGGATAAAACTGGGATGGAGTTCTAGGCAGTTCTGTTGGCCCTCTACTCAGTTTCTTCATCTGGTGAAAGGGTTGGTGAGCATGAAAGGCATTCAGATTATGCTCAGGGAGCACTGTTCTTCTAAAGTGCCTGGGGCTGCTGGAAGGGTTGAATTGCCTGCGGGGCTGTGCACCGGGCAGAGGGGCTTTGGGCTAGGGTGCCTGGTTCAGTGGATCGTACAAGTCAGACTTAAAAATACCCAATCAGATGTTTTTACAGGCATCTCAAGCTCTCTTAGCTCTAACGTGCTACTGTGCTAAATGTTTTTATGTTTTACAATCTCTCTATGCTCATCTAAATTGATTTTTAGGGAAGAGGGTATAGAGCTCCCTTGGCTTATAGGGTAGCAACTAGTCATGTGTGACAAGTTAAATTTAAGCTTTGAGCATAAAATAAAATTTAAAAATTAGTTTCTTGGTGGTATCAGTCACATTTCAAGTGTTCAGTAGCCTCATGCAGCTGGTGGCTGCAGTACTGGGCAGCGCAGGTCTAGCACATTTTCATCATCCCAGAAAGTTCTGTGGGAACTTAGTTCTTTGCCCAACTCTAAAAGCTAAAGCATCACATGTTTTGGCTTCGTCTTTCCTAGTCCACAAACCAAACAACTTTGGTGACAGCCCTGGCTGGGGTGGGTTGGAGCGTTGTCCCACAAACCCAAGGGCTGCAGGTTTGATTCCCGGTCAGTGCACATGCCTTGGTTACGGGCCGTTTACAGGAGGCGGCTGATTGATGTTTCTTTCCCTCTCATTCTCCCACCTCTCTAAAAATAAACAGGCATGTCCTCCGGTGAGGATACAAAATATAAAATTAAAATAAAAAAATTTAAAAAATCAAACGGACTCGGTGACAAATTATTTATCAGTTCTCTCCACAGCAAATTAAGAAGCAGGTTGTGGTCTGCCGGTTTGGAGGGCAGTGATCAATTATGCAACAGTTTGAGGAGCACAGTGGGGGGCCTGGGAGTGGGAGCATGAAGCAAAGAGCCAGATGTAAGCCCTTGGAGAACTGTTTTGGTTTTAGAGCCTGTTTGTTATCGTAAAGGTCCTTGCTGGCTCTCTAAGGCCGGTGCTCACTGTCCTTGGTCTTCAGTTGTCAGCTGACCTATTTGTCCTTCACCCACCTGAATACTTCCTGCAGGATTCCAGTGTGGGCCCTCTGCTAAACAGTTTGTAGATTCCTTCGAAACAAGTGCCATTTGTATTCCGCCCCTCCAGTCTGTCTCAGTGTTAGGCGGCCTGTTTTGACAGGAGGTGCTGGGAGAGGTGCACTGCAGTAGGAATCCTGAAGCGCGGGTGTGGGGCCGGCTCCAGGGAGTGGGCTTCATCTCCAGAGGCCCCTCCTCTAGTCCTGGGCATGAGCGGTTTGAACCCAGCTAGACTGACCTTTGGCATATAATGTGAGATCTCTCTTTTCTTGGAGCCAGACAGCATAAGTTGCATAACAGACACTTACTGAGCACTTACTGTATACCTGGTATCTTAGGAGGTTTTTTCCTAAACTGTTCCCTTTTTATTCTTTCTCAACCCTGTGAGGTTAGGTATTTCGATGTTGTGTGTGTGGAAACTGAAGCCCTGAGGAAGGTAGGCTGATTCCAGGATGCAGGGCTGGGCTGGCTTTGGGCCTCTATCAGGGCTCTGTAGCTCCAGCTCCGCGGTTTATGAGGCTGTTCCTTATTTACTGCCCCATTAATGCTCTAGCCTCATGCAGAAAACAAAGCTGGGTTTTTAAAAGATTAAAAATCATTTATCTCACAAGCCGAGTCAGACTATTAGGTTTTGAGTCATTTCAGCTCTGTGATAGAGGTATTTGTGTTCCATTTTACAGGACATTTTCATTTGACAGGAAACTGAAGTTCAAGATCCTACTCCTTAAGGCTCTTGTCTTTCCAAAGCCATGTTTTATCATCAGAATTATGCAACCATCCGGTGCATTTGGGCTACAGGAATAATGACTGTGACTAAGAAAGCCTTGTAGACTGTAGCTGTGCCTGAGGCTGGAAAACTGAAGCCCTGGAAGACGCTGGTTTAGCTCAGTGGCCTAGTCGAGGAGACCTTGAAGGTATTCATTCCCGGGCTAATAATAATATGGCCTGTCAGACCTCACACGGAGGTCATGGGACCATCCCCTGGCCCTCTGCAGGCTGTTGCCTGGCAGGAGCTTGGGCCCTGCCCCGGAGGCAGCAGGGTTTGTTCAGGCCCAGCCCTCAGCCACACACCGCAGTGCCACTCCCACCCCTCCTCCTCCAGCCTTGGCCTGGACGGCAGATCTGAGGGCCATCTCAGTCTTCCGTAAAACTTCTTACTCCTCCTTCCCATCCCTCCAAAGAGAAAGGAGCCGGAGTGACTTGCCCTGAACTGCCTTGGAAGGAGGCCTGCACTCTGATGGGCCTTGAGCTCTGTCTCTGGTGGGAAAAAGCTGTGCTGAGAAAACCTCCTTGCTTTGTCCTTTGACTTCAGTGAGGCCCACCCGGCCAAGCGTGTGCTGTCCTGCTATTTTTGGCAGGTGGTATCCTTTAGGAGCGCCAAGTGCATGCGGCTCCAGTGCGAAGGGCAGGTCCTGAGGCCAAAGCTGCCGCTGCTTTCTAATCAGGGGAGGAAGGAGAATAAAGCCACACTAGAAACTATTACGGGGAGCTGGTGGAGGGGAGAGGTAGCTGCTTAAGAGGTCCCTGGGGCTGCCTTTTCTATTCTGGATCTGTGGCAGGGGCCCAACCCCGCCTCCTGGGCCACACAGGCATGTGACCGAGGCAGCCCCGCGAGCCCGGGAACTCAGGACTGCTGTCCTGGGGAATGAGAACCCCTTGTTTCCCCAGCAGTCAATTTCTCAGGAAATCACATAAGCCCATTTTCACGGGAAGTCACCCAACATAAGGACAGGCCACTAAATGGACACTAAAAATGCCGTAAAACTGGATCTGCTGGCAGCATGAGTACTGATGGACCCTGGCTTAGACCAAAATAAAAACATGAGAGGAGGCAAAGCTGTGAGCCTCAGGAGGAGTTCTTACAGGGGAGCCAGTGAGGAGGAGGCTGAAGGATGGAAAAAGGATTTTGACGAATAAGTTCTGTCCTACACTGCCTTCCATTCTTCTCCTGCCCCCCCATCTTTTTTTTTCTTTTGCTCCTCTTCTCTAACTTGGAGCTGCCAACTCCAGCCCATCTATCTGTTTCTGATTAAGAAAGCTTCAAGCCATATAAGGCCCTCTGTTGCCTATGGTTTATGTTGGCTGGAGAGCGAGGTTGTTTTTGCAAAGTGTATTTCAAGGAAGTGGCAAGGGCTTATGTGGGGCTAAGTGTGTGTATGTCCCCGTCCTCATTCACTACCCAACGCCCCCACCAAGGCTAGTAAGTGGTGTGACCCCAGGACTTTATACAAAAGCATTTGCTGAGAACTTGAAGTATCAATAAAAAGGGGTCCTGTTTACTCACATATTATGCACCTGCCATGCTACCAGCCACAGAAGCATCCTGTTTCTGAATAGATTCTGGAATCAGCCTCTGATTATTAGTTTAGAAAGTATAGCCCTGTGGCTATTGGGGCAAGTTGGTTTTCTTCTCTGGAGGAGGTTTGGTGAAACTATTCCCCTGCGTCCTGGACCTTCAGCAGTGCGTCTGCCCAGAGAAGCTGGGAAGCCGTTCCCTGGCAGCAGCCCTCTGACCTCATCATCTTCACATCCCTTTCTTACAGCATCTTGAGTCAGCCACGCTTGATTCTACCTTAGGACTTTGGCATGTGTTCTTCCTGCCTGGAACTTTCTCCCCCTCTCCTTTCCTTGTCCTCCCAGATCTTGGTGTGGCTGCCCCTCACTGTCCCAGCTCTGCCGCCACCTCTTAAAAGAGGTATTCTCCAGCCCGTCTGTCTCAAGCACCCCCTCTCCCACGCGATCATTATGCAGCCTTTTCCTGGGTTCCTCATCTAAACCGCTCAACACAGAAGATGATTGAGTGACTTTCTCAGCTCTCCCAACTAGCACCATTCTAGATGCCCAAGAGTATAGTTAATTCATCAGGTATAAGGAAGGCCTGGAGCTCAGTTCTCTGAAGCGGTGGAGAGACTGCAGGTTTATTACATTTGATTGCTGCATCTTTGTAGTATCTTGAGATCTGAAATGTGACTCCCTACCTACCCCTCCCTTTGCTTCCTGAGAGTTTCTTTCTGCGCATCCAGAAGAACTGGCTCACAGCAGGGTATTCTCTTTATGAAATGACTAGGCCCAAGGGATGGACCTCAGCAGGGTGGGAGCCAGATGCCCCAGCTCCGAAAGGTCTACCAATAACCATGTTCCCTTTGTGATTATTGTTGTCAGCAGGTTGGTGGGAGGGGGGCAGCGGTCCCTGAAGCAAAATTAGCATCAATTGTTATGGGAAAATAAAGCATTATAAATTTGTACATAGATGAGATGACATACATATTTATTATGATGGTTAAACATAAAGCTGTATGGTAGTAGAGTATCCATTGCTACTTAATACTTTAGAAGATATTAATTTTCTATGAAAGCATTGTGTGTAGGAAGTTTTGATTTTGACTATGTGTAAGATATGGAAGAACAGCCATTTGCCCAGAGTGCTCTTCTGTCTGTCCCGTTCTCTTCCAGAGCAGCTGCTTTCATCATTCTAGTTGTCCTCCCCACCTCTGTATTCCTAAATAACCTTCCTTCCTTCCTTCCTTCTATCCATCCATCCATCCATCCATCTTTCCTCCTTTTTATATTATCTAATTCACTTTTCTACTGTGGAAGATAAGGACTTGGCTCATTTCTACACTTTCTTCCCTCACCCTCAGTATAGAGGGAGTATGCGTTGTTACCATGTAACTACTGCCTCTGTATTTCCTTGCTTGTCTCCCCCTCCCCCCTCCTCTCCTAGTCAACTTTCTTTAGTTTTCTGTGTGTCTCCCATCCGTTCTCAGACTGATCAGTTCTCAGCAGCCATTGCTGCTGAGCTCCTCCCATTGTGCTTAAATATACCACCTACCAAGCAGTTCCACCTCTCTCCTGGGATGCACCCTGTCCCCTGGCTTTTCTTCCCCTTCTTCATGGAAATTCCTTCTCCCCTTCTCTTTTATTGCTTCCTGGATCGTTCGGGTTCTCCCCTCCCACAATTTATTCCCTTGTTTTTGTGGAGCCCTTCTTCTAGTAGCTTGCTGAGAAAACGTGCATGGGTGGGCAGCCAATAAGGAACACGCAGATTCATGCACAAGGACAGGCTCCTTGGAAGATATGGGTTGGCATGTAGCCAGAGACAGGAGGGTTGGTGGAATCTTGGCAAAGACAACTAGGCCCCCAGACCCCATCTAGCATGCCAGGAGATCCGGCTTTACTTTATGGAGTGGTTTAAGTGAGAAAGATCTGGGTTTGGGCACTAGGTAGTGGTGAAATGAAAGTCTGCGCATTGAATGGGGCAACCCAGCCTCCCTCGGCTCCCACAGTGCTGGCATTTGGGCTTCTGCCCTCTCCTCTCCCACCCCAGGACATGGCAACATTCTGATCTGGAGACACTGGCAGCCTGGTTCATGTTTGTCCCCCATCCAAGCCAGGACCCTTGCCTGACTCTTGGACCAAACTGGTCAGCTAATCAGTGGCAGAGGGCTGCAGTAATAGGCCCACAAGAGAAGTCATTTGTTTTTCCCCCCTAAAGGACTTAAAAGTGCCTCAGGCGTAGTGCGTTTGTGTGATTCATTTCTGTGTCCCACTGTACTTTGTATCCTGTAGTTATCAATACATATTTGGTGAATAGAAATTACTTTATGCCTTTATGTGATTTCTGAGTTGGTTATAATGCACTGCCATTTGGAAAATCAGTGTCTACCTCTTTGCTTTGTCCGAAGTTGGTGCTGTAAAGGGTCTCCGCCTTATACCAACATCTTTTCTGATGTCATCTGAAGGCATGTTTCACATTTATTATCCTTTAAATAAGCCTGTTGTCTGATCACAACTTCATACCTTTCAGTTAGTCTTGTGTAGTGCTGTGTGGTCAGGAACTGTGTGTGCCCAGCAACACTTTGCTGGCACCTGCTTTATCACTACAGTTATTTAAAAATTGTAAACCATGTTCCTACCCCCCAAATGAAGCAATGGGAAGACCTTTGTAGGAGGTGCTGATTTTTTTTTCCTTTATCATTTGAAGCCTAATGAGACTGGACCTACCATGAGTGGTCAGCGGAGGAGGGAGGCTGGGCAGTTCACACTTGTAGTTTCTTCTTTTACCGTCTTTTCCAAACTGGGAGTTTAATTTTTAATTGAGCTGACAGGAGAAGAGCTCTTAATTTGAGACTATGACCAGAGAGAGGATTTTTCCCTTCTGACTCTACTTCCCTGGAGCTCATGGTACCAGGCTCCGGGTTTCCATTTTGTCTGGAAAAGGCTTTGTTGAGCGGTGCGCCCACCCACGCCTTGTTGGGTGAAGTCTCCGGCCTCCAGGAGAGCAGGCTGTGAAGCGTACTGTGATCCAGAACCGGGGGCTTGGCGGACCTGGCTGTTCTCTGGGACCATCACAATGGAGGGTGTGGGGGACAGCCCTGGGCAGGAGGACCTCACAGTCCCACTATGAGCTAAGTTGGAACCTTTAGGGTGCTGACAGGAATCACAGCTCACCCAGACACCCTAAGGATGGAGGTAACAACCTTGTGAACACCAGGACTGGGCTGAAACCAACACCCCGGAGGCATGGCTCCAGCACTCTGATTCCTGGGCCCCAGCCATGCTGCTGAGGGTGAGTGACCCGCTTGCCCTCCCTCCCCAGCCTCGGTGGCAGGACCAAACACTGACCGGCAAGGTGGGCACTGGCCACCTCAGCATTTATCCAGTTTCCTTCAGATCTTCTCAAACGCCCTCTGGAACTGTGCTGTCCACCAGGTGGCCACCAGCTGTATGTATGTGGCTATTTAAATTAAATTAACATTAAATATAATTTAAAATTCAGTTCCTCAGTGTCTCTGGTCGCATTTCAAGTGCTCAGTAGCTGCTGTGGCTAAGTGGCTTCCAGTATTGAAATTCATTCGCCACTTGGGGACCAGCCAGGCCTTTGCCTCTTGTGACCTGCTCTGATTTGGCCATG